AACAACAACAGCAACAACAACAACACCACCACATCTACTCTTATGTGCTGCCAGCGGCTACACATATTGCAGCCTGAGTGGTGCCGTGGTGCAGTGGTGCAGTGGCACGGGGCGACAGGCGTACACTTTGAGTTTGAGCGGATCCCCCCTCCGCACAGCATAGAGGAGTGAAGCTCCGCATGTAACGGATTCATGCAAAGGAGGCAAAACTTTAGTTGTAGTATATAAAAAAAAAACTTTAAAAAATGCAAAAAAAAAAAAAATTATAATATATATATATATACATATATATATATATATATATTAATTTATATGGCAAGCCTAACCCAGTTTAGTGAAATTTTTGACCGGCCGATGAAATGTTGAGCGAAAATTGTAGGTACCAAAAAACAAAAACAAAAAATGACAAAACAAAGCTTAACGAGAAAAACAAAAACCAGCAAAGGGAAATCTTGTAGTAAAATATACATCAAAAAATAGATCAGATTAGATTGAGAGAACTAAATCTAGACAGTTGATATGCCCCAATAGATATATTCATATGTGTATTAATATATATATTTACATATATATGTCTATAAGAGCTGCAAAAGATTTTTGAAACATTTTTAACTATGGTTGTTCCGATAATTTCCATTTAGCCTTTGTTTTCGAACTAAGATCGAGCCTTTATTCATTTTTGTTCAGCTTCATTAACCCTTTCATTTCGACCATATTCATGAAATGGAATTGAGACATTGCAAGAATTTGATCTGTTATTTTTCTAAACAACCTTTATCCATTCATTTAAGACATTTTTAAAGCAGAATAACAAAGTTAAGGGAATAACATAAAGAAGAGAAAACAAAAATACATATAAAATTGAACATTAATAATAAAAAAGAAAACATAAGTATAGCTTAACCGAATGTGCCCTTTAAATAGCTCTCTTTCTAGAATTATTAAAAGACAAACAAAAAGTTAAAGAATTACGAAAAAAAAAACCAAAAACAAAAACATCTGTATATGTGTGTATATGCATTAAAGTAATATCTTGTATCTAGTAATACAATTTTGAAATGTTATTTAAAGATAATGAAAGCTAATGAAAACAAAAACAAAAAACAAAAACAAAAAACCCACACATAAAATATTTAACAACGAGAACTAGTCGATGTCATCAAAAGTAAAATCTATATTGAGAAAAACTGAACGCTGGTTTCGAAATTTATTTGTTATAAAAACGTACATTTAAATTGTGAATTCGACACGGCATTAAGCTTGAAATGCGCTGTTAAGACTCTCGTAATACATACAAACATACATACATGCATATATAAATATATATATATTTTAACTAACTAACCAGTTAGGGGAACCAGGAACTGTAGCTGGAACTGGCATTACAGCTGGTATAATTAGATTCAGACACTCTCGACACACTTTCCGCCCAAAAAAAATAACACAAGCAAAAAATGAAGAAACTGAAATTTCTGCAAAAGCTCTCTCTTAACCGCATAAAGACTAGAAAATTGATAAGCTTGTATTGTTGATAATCCAACAAACAAAAACATTCCTAACTCGATTTCAGAAAAATGCTAGAACAATCAACACACACATTTCTTGCTAAAAAAAAACCAAAACAAAAACCAACGAACCAGAGACAGCGGGGTAACTACAGGCAGAAACAAAGGCAACAACAACCCAACAACCAACACAAACAACTTTTGATTACGGGAACGACAAGCGGTCGTACTTTTCGATTGCAAAATCAGTAACATATCATCTTACGTAGCAGCAGTAGCAGCAATTATGGAACTACTTACATCTATTGTAACTAAATGAAGCAACTACAAGTACACTTATGCTAAAGCAATGTTATAGTTAAAAGCTAAAACAACTATTAGGCAACCATCAAGAACACCAACAACAACAACAACAACAACAACAAAACAAACAACCAAACGAAAAGGCAAGACATAGGCTTTTAAGTAGCTAATTACAAAAACGGCAAACTCTACAATTTGAAAGAAAGAAAAGAAACAAGACATTCATCATCTGAATTGGCAGCCGTTGCAGTTTATCAGCATTGTTTAAATTATAGGCATACACGTTTATTATTTAAAATTTACACTTTAAATTAAATTTTATATTTACCAAAGTTGTCCTTACTAAATAACATAAACCCGAATTACGTTAACCATTCCCCACATTTGTTAAACAAACCAACAGCAAAATAATATAATAATTATAAATAAATAACAATATAACTCTATTTAATTTACTTAGTTAAGCTTAAAACAACTAGACATACCAAAGGCATATTTGAAACATTTGTTAAAGCAAAAAAAAAAAAGATAACAAAAAAATATACGAAAAATATGTTGTAGCAATTATTGGTAATGGATTTCCAGCGCATATTTATAAAAATAATAATAATAATAATAATGTTGAATGTTGAATTTTCTACTTCTCATTTTGTCTACTTTCAACAATTGATTTCATATATGTAAAATTTCAATTGACTTTAGTCAAATGTAAAAGCATACTCCGTCCAATTACATTTCTTGCTTACTCTTGCCTATCATTATTATCATCATCATCATCACCATCAGCATCATTAGCATTGTCATCATCATCATAATAATGATCATTACATTCGGGCGTGTTGGTACATCATCTGTTTGAAAATACATGCTATACATAACCAAAATCTATTCATAGGTCTGTAAAGAAACCGACACATATAAACCAATTCCCTACTATACACACACACACACACACACCCTTAGGAAGATCTAGCTATAAGTGAACAAGATTAATTATATTAATACTAATGCATATCATAAAATTGCGCCTTTAACGAAATTAAAGAACAAAAACAAAACAAAAACCAACAAAATTAATTATGAAGCAAAATATTTACAACTACAAATAAGCGTATAAATAGATAATTAATTAAACTAAAAATAAAAAAAGGTTACCAAAAAAAGAAAAACAAAAGGGAATAGAAGCTATGCCTAATACAAATATTTTCGAAATTAATTTTAAATGTTAAGGAATAAGAAAACTTTTCAGGCTTGACGCCTCGAAGTATGCAAGCATTTTAGCAAAGAAAAGCAATGGAAGCGCGTTCTTATTGACTTGTCTAAGACGCTGCGCGTGTGTGCGTGTGTGTGCGTGTGGCAACCAACACGCCTGCGTCTGATTAAAAGAAACATCAAAGCAAAACATGTTCACGTCTAGTATAGATCATCGACAACTTCTCATGTATCTATAACCAAAAAGAATAGAAAAACAAATGTTAAAGACAAAAGCAGTTGCAAAATTAGCTGCCTTTAGGCTCTTATTTCAAGACACTCTCCTAACTACATTCTCATCAGAAAAAAAAAAAAAAATACATAAATAATTAATAAAAAACAAAATTGAGTAAAACAGTTTGGAAAGTGTGTATAAAACACTTTTAAACTGGAATATCTAATGCATCATGAAATTAGTTTGTAAATGTAAAACTAAAACTAAACTAAACAATATGAATTATGGGAACATTATATGAATATATAAATACATTTTTGAAACAAATAAACAAAAAATTATATATATATATATATATATAAAACTACACGCAACTACAACGGATACATATCAGCAAGATGAAAGATTTACCAGATAGATGCGAAGTAAAATAAACAAAAAAAAAAAAAAAAACGTTTACAACAAATTGATAAGCGATATGTTTTGATGTGGTTTTTAAACATTTTTTGACAATGTAAGCGTAAAAAGGCAAAGCAGTTACCAAAAAAAAAAAATAAGTAAATAGAACGAGAACTAAAAAAAGTCGCTGAATAAAACACAGAGATGAGAAGTACATGAGTTTTGTGCATCTAAAGAAGGGCAATTAGTAATAGATTACATACTACATACATATGTAAATGCATATACCAAGTAATGGCATATAAGCCAGTAAAGGCAACAGTAATAGCAAAGATAATTTGTATTTTATTGTATTTATTATTGTATTAGCTTTTAGCTAAGTATTTGTACTTTATTTTTCGTGCATCTCGAAAATGTTTATATATTATGGATAAACTGCTCTTTGAACTATTTTAACTATATTTATTCGTACACATATCCCCGATTCGGTTTCCGATTGCCTTTTGTTCGCCTGCCTAAAAGATAACTAAAAATTTGTTCTGTAACCATACTAATGCCTAAGTACTGTATTGTATACCATTTATATACTATACTATATATACATACATACATACATATATACATTATTTTTCCGTACTTGCGTTTTTATGTGTAGTGCTTACCTAGCCTTTTTTAATTGACGGTATTAATTATGCTTAATAAATTCATTATGTTCGTTAAACAAACAAAAACATTCAACTAACATTTGTTTTATTTTTCCACATCTCTTTACACAAATTTATTTGGATTTTCTTTTTTAATTTGAACATCATCAAGCAGATGCGCAGAAACCTTAAAGAAACGAATTTTAAATTAGTGAAAATGTTTGCAACTATACAAGAAAAAATTCATAATATACAACAAATAACAAAATGCATTGGTATATATGTATTACGTTTAAAACCCTGAATATAAACTTAAGTAACTGGGAAATACATGATATGATTATCAAAATGAACTACTTATAATGAGAGGCATTCAAGCAAACATAAAAATATATGCGCTGTACATTTGTTTATAACATTTCCAACTGGAATGCAACTCGCCTGGCAGTTGCATTACATATACATACTATATACAGCCATACATATACAGGCATACGCGTATATGTATACATATACAAGTATACACACACATATACACGAAGACACATTTACATATATATATACGTATATAAGTAGAACAAATTGATATTGAATATTTAAAATATCTATGAAAGATATCAAGAAGAAGAATTTGAAGAGAAAGCAACAGCAGCAACAACAAGTGAAATGAAAAACATTCAAAATTAATTGAAAACATATCAAACTCGTGCCCGATATAAACAACTATATATGTGCATGCATATATAATATTATATCTTTTAATATATATATGTATAGATATAAAAAGCAGCAACAAATTATGCGCAGCAATTTTCAAATTATAAAACAAAAAGAAGCAACAATTATATTAATAATGAATTCATATATAAAGAGAATGCAATTTTTAATTGCATATTATTCAACTTTTATCAGTATAATAAAAATATAAATATAATTCAATATAATATTAACTACAAAAATGGCAAATATTTGTCTATTTTGAGGCTCATTTATTTGACGTTTTTGCAAAACATTTAAAAACTCTTCATTTTAACAATTGAAAAAAAAAAAAAAAAACCAAAAACATTACAAAATAAATAAATAAAACCCTTTTGCTAGTATTGTAAAAATTTAATGATTTTCAACAAATAAGGAAAATCATCTAACAAGAAACAACAACAAATGAAAAATAAATATACAAAAGAGCGCAAGCTAAGACAAAAATTAGCTAAATATTATTATTATAAACTTACATGAACGGTAACAAAACAAAACAAAAACAAATATGAATATCAGCCTTGTTCTTTATATATATTTCAAAGTAAACCAAAAAAAAAAAAGAAGAAAGTTAATAAAAAAAGCATACAATATATTAATAAATTATTAACTACTATATTAAAAGTAAACTAAAAAAAGAAAAAATTACAAAATAAAAAGAAACAAAAAAAAAACAAATTACATAAATATTTAGCGAAAATATTGTATTGTGAGTTTAAATGTGTGTGTTGTTGCATACGATAAAACCAAAGAAATAGCAAATCGAGCGTTAAGGCAATAGACAGGTCAAAGGTCAAGATTGGCAGAACGAAGTGCGGATTGGCTGAAAAAAAAAAATAAAATAAATATCAATTGAACGAATTGCAGTACAGATCGTGAACATATTCACATCATTTACGTGAAACCAATAAACAGCAACCAGCGATAAAGTTTAAACGCAATTTATTTTAATTACACTATCGTATTATCAGAATCAGATTATTGTACTACAAATTATAAATAAACAGCAAAACAACAGAAAAAAAAAAAAAAAATTGAACACAAATTATACAATTTGATAATATTTCCCCTCCCAAACCATCAAAGCGATGCACAAAGACCCTGCCTGACAAAAAATAAACATAAACAAATGATGAAACCAGGGTCCCGGCACACGACAATAGTCTCAGTGCGAACTGCAGCAGTAGCAACAACAACAGCAACAACAAATAATATGTAATACAAATAATGAATAAAAACTTTAACAATTGTTTTGTGTAATTGTAAAAAAAAAAAAAAAATTTAAATCGACTCTTCTTTTCTGGAAGCAAAGGGAGTTAAAGGGTTTTTAGCCTGCAGTAGCAGGCAGAGCAGTAGCTGCCCTTAAATTTGGCTGCCTACTGCTACTGTCTCAACTGTGCCCGGATTTTCCCCGGCCTCGCCCGTGGCCAGCTTAGTGCTCAACAAATTAGATCTATGCGTTTCAGCCAGTTTATGTCCGTGGAATTAAAGTCTACTTGTAGAATCTTGAACTTCAACTCTATTTGAAAGTATGTTTATGGTTCATCGAATAAAGGATCAAGAGTTGGAAAACGTTACCAAAAGTTAGAAAGCATCACGAAAAATAAACTTTCGCTAATTATGTTAAACCCTTGCGACAAACGTATCAAAAATCTTCTTAAGGAGATCGTGGAAAATTAGTTTGAGGCCGAAAGATAAATGGATGGTAAGCAAAAAGTACAAGCGTTTTTTGCTTGTTTCCCAGTCTTGGTGTGCACCTTCATTAGATAAGGTAACTACAGTGAAAATTTCAGCTTCTTATGGCTGTGCGTTGATCACCAGTCAGTCAGTCCGTCAGTCAGTCAGTCAGGGCAAACAGTTTTATATATTGAGATATAGATTTGTATTTATTTGTTATTTAAACTTATAATCGAAAAATGTTTACACCCGCATCAGCATCAAACCGAAACAGCTAAATTAAATATAACAATATTTCAACTTAAAATATAATTAAATTGTTTTTCTGCTTGCGAAAAATCTCAAGAGCTGGTTCTTGTTATCGCTGGCGTCAGGGGCGTCCGTTGGGGGTCAGCAGAAATTGAGTTTAATAAACCCCGCTGAATTGATATGGAACTACGCCCCGCACGCAAATCTAGATGCCGGCTTTGGCCCGGGGTCGCGCTCTGAGCTGATAAGCTGAGCATTGAGCTCATCCAAACGAGTCGTTTATATGCCAGTAACTACTGTACAGGGTTGTTGTGCCAAGAGGGAAATCCCTTATATAAAACACGTTTGTCTACCTGTGCACAGGCAGTTACCTGCGTAGCGTGGATTATACTTGGAAAAGGAATTTAAGCATAAAGATGGCACAACCTAAACACACGCAAAAAAAAATATGGTTCACTTAATTTTAGAAAATCATTATTGAATGATTTATTTACTCTGTTTGAATTATTTATTATTAAAATGTTAATATTTAATTTTACTTAGAATACAAGTAGCAACAAAAAATTAAGTAAAATATATTTTACTTTAACTTGCGGCGAATTACCCAATTAAAATCTTTGTTTTTATTTAAATTAAACACATATGTCTTTCAAATTAAAATAAACAATAAAACTCGCCCATATAAAAATGTTTAAAAATACGCATTTATTAATGAAAAAGCTTTCTAAAAACTATAAAAATTTAATTTTAATATTTTTTTTTAAACATTATTTTCTGCTTTTTAAATTGTTTAAAGATATTCACTTTCTAAAAAATAGAAAACCCTTGTAAAGTTGAATTTAAAAATGTCAAGGCGATTTCGCTGCGTCTTTTTTTCTGAGTGTATGTGTATATATACTTACCTAGAATGTGCTGGCAACCTCTAGTCGATATTTGTACTGGATGAACTACGTTGAATCAGTAGAATTTGGACTCTGAGACGAGACGGTTTTAAAATGCGCTTGATTTGTTTGCTGCTGCTTTGGGCAGTTGCCGCGATACAGGTCTGCCTGGCGGACAACAAGGTGTCCTGCAAGGACGAGCAGGGCCACGACGTGGACTGGTAAGTGGCACTCTACAAATATAGCTGGCAATGGATGCTTAATGTGGATGCTAAATGTGCACCTTCTACAGGTGGTACATCTACAAGCTGCCCAAGCACTTTAGTGACAGACCGCACGGCCAGGACGTGAGTGGATTGCGCTATCTGTATGTGACCAGCACCAGCTACGACAACTGGCATCTGTCGGGACGACGCATCAGCGATGCCAACTCGATGCCAGCCCAGACTCTGAAGCCGCTCTATGCGGACGAGCATCGCGTTCTGCTGGCCGCCTACAATGATCAGTTTCCCAATGGCACCGTCGCCAGCAAAGGGGGCCATACGAAGGGTGTGGTTGCCACGGACGGCGTGACGGGCATGTGGCTGGTGCACTCGGTCCCCAGATATCCCACTGTGCCGGACTACAGTTATCCCACCACGGGCGAGCAATACGGACAGAGTCTGCTCTGCATAACGATTGACACTGAGAGCGTTGAGAAGGTGGGCGAGGTGCTCGTCTTCAATGAGCCGCATTTCTACTATGAGCGCAATCCCTTGCTAAAAATTAGCGAACTGTTTCCCAGTCTGGAGCGTGCACTAAAGCGTCAGTGGCGCACCGAATCACCCTACCAGAAGGAAGTGGAGCTGCGCACACTCGACGGCAAACAGTTTCGAATCTTTGGCAAGAGCCCGCGTGCCAATGTGGAGCTCTATAGCGATATTGTGGCACCTGCTCTGGGCGTCAATCTTTTCGTGGAGGCGTGGCGTGACGGTGCTGGCAACTTGCCCGACAGCTGCGACAAGCCCTACCAGATCTACAACGTTGAGGACATTGACAATCCCGAGTTCGCGGTAGATTTCAAGACCACCGCCGATCACTCCAAGTGGGCCGTCTCCGAGGAAACGGGCTTCAAGCTGCATCGTTGGCGCATCGGTGGCGGCGATTGGATTTGCATCGGTGACATTAACCGGCAGCAGGAGCAGCACAATCGCGGCGGCGGCACTGTTTGCCACAAGAGCTCCCGTGTATCCGATATCTATCGCAAATTGGTAACCAAATACGAAAAATGTAACCATAACTCACACGATGCTGCCTAATAAAACTTTATTTCCCCAATCTGTATCTTAATATGGATAATATTCATATATAGGAAAAACCTAGGCCTAATTTTCCTGGTAATGTAATATCTATATATAAAACTTTTTGTCCTGACTAACTGACTGATTGATGATCAACGCACTAGCTAGGAATTTGACATTTTCACTGTAGTTACCTTATCTGACGAAGGTGCACGTTATGACGCGGTTTTGGGAAACTCCACGCACGCGTGGAAAAATCGCGAAAAACGTTTGTATGAAACTTTTTTGTTTACCATCCGATCGGCCTCAAACTCATTTTCAACGATCATTGCTCAAATTCATCTAAGAGGTGTTTCACACTTTTCGAAAAATGCATTCGTCCTTCGTGTCAAAGATTTGCTGGGTGTCGTTTCGTGTTCAAATTGATTTCACACTTTCACACTTTTCGCAGAATACAAACTTCCTCGGTAAAAAGTGCTATTCACAGATTTTATTGGAGAAGTTTTCAGTTTTGTCCGATTTGCTTTAAACCCTTTCTCAATACGTGTTTCAGCGATTTGGGAAATTTCACCCGCAACAGTGGGAAATTGGCGGAAAGTTTTTTGTTTATCTTCCGATGGGATTCAAACTCCTTATCAAAGATCTATTTGAGAATTTATTTTATACGTGCCACGGCAAGGCTCGCTAGTATCTGTATAATATGAGAAGAAACAATTTTTAATCGAGTGTGTTCTGACTTCCAACAAGGTAGACAGAAAATGTCTTTACATTTTCCAAATGAGGTTCATAATCGATATTTATGTATCGTTTAAGGACACGAGGAGGAGACAGAATTTTTAAACACAAGTAATCAGCTTTATCATACAATTCTAACACTTGAACTAAGACTAAGACTATTCAAGTTTTTGATTACAGATCTATATCGATTGATTAGGGCAGATAAAGGGGTTCCCACAGACAGGCTTGACCAACTCCCATTCAGATTTTGGACTATACACCTTACAGGACTGATAATATCATTACACACATTTGTACATCTATATTATGCATATATTAACCATTTTTTTATTAATGTTATAAAAATGCCAATTTTATATATGAAATTTTATCCGATTAAACTAACTAAATGAATTACCCGACCATTATTTTTATTTGCTGTTTACTTTGAAATATTACCCATTTCCTGAACTTCAACTGTAGATGGCTCTGTGGCGACATCTATTGTAATTAAATGCAGTCACTGCTGCACAGCAATGACGTCACAAGATGGCGTCGGCGCGCAGAGCGACTGCCAGGGTTGGGAAACAGAAAGAAACAGCTGTTAATAAACGAAGCGGATTAAAACACACAAAAGAAAAAACAAACTGCAGCTGGAAAATATTCAAGCTGACCCAAATAAAAAAAGAAGCTTAATTAAAATATATTCATTAGCCTTTGTGAAATGTTCTGCTGCCTGCGCACGTGCTTCAATGGGGGGCAGCTGCGAAAGCCAACGTCAGCAGCGCATCGTCTCAGGGAGCCCGAAGTGCACCTAGATGCGGCGCATATGGGTAAGTGTTCTCCTACATATTTGAACTAAAGCTAAGGTAATTCCCATGCTTGGCAGGCCCCGATGTCATATTGCTGTCGCATCAGCTGCGTGTAACAGGCACAGGCGGTGTACTGGCCACTGCGCCCCTGGTGCAGTCCAAATCCTACTTCGAGGTGAAGATCCAACAGAGCGGCAGCTGGTCAATTGGCCTGGCCACGCGTCATGCGGATCTCACACGCAAGTGGGGCGGCGGGGATCGTGAATCCTGGTGCCTGTGCTCCGACAATGCGACACGCCACAACGACGAAGAGTTCCGACCCGTTGTGGCCAACTGCAAACAGCCAACGGGTGCCGCCAAGTCACCCGCCGCCGCGGTCACATCCACTGCCAATGGTATATTAAACAATAGCGCTGCCGCTGCAGCAGGCCTGATTGCAATTGAGGATCTGCAAGAGGATCTGCTGATGACCACTGGCGTTGAGACGGCGCCAGAGCTGAGGACGGTGGATGCTTTGATCAGTGCACCGCAACGTGACTATCCTGACGAGGGCGACATACTCGGCGTGGCCTTCGATCATGTCGAATTGAATTTCTATTTCAATGGCAAAAATCTGGAAGTGCCTTTTCGCAATGTACGCGGCTCGGCACTGTTTCCGGTCATCTACGGTGAGTCGCTGGCGCATTTGTTTCCAGCTATTCCGTAATTAATTTCTTACTGTGTATGCCTTGCAGTGGGCAATGGCGCCATACTGGACATTATTCTGGATAATTTTACGCACGGTCCGCCCTCGGGATTTGAGCGCATCTTACTGGAGCAGTCACTACTTTAGAGCATCGGCTCAAAGTCACATGCCATGAACAAAATAGCAGGCTACGGGTTTTCTACTGCCAGCTCCTGCTTCAAAAGTATTGAAAATTATTTCTAGTCTCGCAGCCGCAAATGTTGACGCCATGAATCGATTCTCAAATCAAATTAAAAATCACAGGCTCGTTTTCTCTATGTCCGTTGAAATTGAAATTCCCATCTGATTGTTCCCATTGTTAACTAGCACCAAACTTGCGGTTAAATATCTAGCGAATCATCTGCTAATTCAGTCCTAATTTTTCTACCATGTGTTTTGTTCTCTGACAATTCTCTTGTTGTCCGAACTAATCGGAAAATATAGCAAATCTACAGCTATACTCTCTTCACAAATTTTATACACTGTTCCCTCCTGGTAAAATATGCATAACATATGTAAAAGTCATTTTGTTTGATGCCTTTAAAGCGAGATATTTGGTAGTTATCTTATAAATACCCGCGTCAGCTAGATTAGCTAGTTAGTCACGCCAATCCTAGTCCTCGTTAATACCCTAAATAGTTAGTTTCTGCAGGTAAGTCACAATATTTGATAAGCAGAAGGATGATCTCATTTATCGAGCATTAGAACAAATAAATAGCAGTACATTTATATGGGCCAGTGTTGATAAGCACGTGCTTGTTCTGACTGTTTGAACTTTTCGCAACACAAATCTTGGGAAAACGAGCCTTGAAATTAAAATGTCCAATCAATCAACAGTTTCAAAGCAATTTCCACACATTTCTTATTAATGAAGACTTAAATAATTTAACTATAGCATATGGGAGTTAATTCATGTCACATTTGCGGCTGAAACAATTTTGCGTATTATTTAAATTTTTGAATGTATGTTTTGTAAATTATTAAAACGTAGCTAGACCTTGCGACTGCTTTGTATAATACACCACTCTATAGACTATATAATAATAAAATATTATATTTTCTTTCGTACATTCCCATTATACAAAAAAAAAATCTACAAGAGTTATTGGACTATAGCCTAACTTTATGCACTCGAGCACGGAAATTATCGAACTATATATGTACACTATATTTAAGGATCTGTATTTAACGCTTTGAAAACTGACTTATCCGCGCGCGGACAATAATGAATGTTATATATATTTGTATTGTGCGTACTTACCTTATATTTGCGTATATATAGACGATATACCATACACACACACATATATATATATATATATATAAAGCAGAGCTTAAACAAAATATTGTTTAGCTTGTCATTAAAATCAATGTAAATGAAATTATTTGAAAAATCACAGAAAAATCCTAGTCTTATATAATTAATTATTTCCTGGCTTAAGGTATATTAAAAATCGATAGGGCGCATGTCGAGGGTTCGCAGAGCAGCTGTTGCTGAGTTGAAAACCGGCGCCACATGGGCGGCAAAGGCGAGATTATACAGATCCACATCGGACAGGCGGGCGTGCAGATTGCGAATGCATGCTGGGAGCTTTACTGCCTGGAGCATGGCATCCTGTCAAACGGTCGGCTGATGAGCAAGCCGTGCGATGATTCCTTCTTGACGTTCTTCGAGTTTAGCGGTCATGAGCCCTGCGTACAGCCGCGTCTCGTCATGATCGATACGGAACCAACGGTCATAGGTGGCTGGCAATTGCATCGCATTATGATCTTCGGCTCATCTTCATTCCCCTTTTCTCTGATCCAGATGAGATACGCACGGGTGCCTATCGCAATCTATTCCATCCGGATACGCTGATCACGGGCAAGGACGACAGCGGCAGCAACTTTGCCCGCGGCTACAATCTGATGGCCAGCGAGCTTCTGGATCGCGCCATGAATGCCATACGCCGTGTCGCCGATCGCTGCCGCAGCCTGCGTGGTTTCCTGGTCTTTCGTGCCATCGGCGGCGGCACTGGCTCTGGCCTGGGCACACGCATCATGGAGAAACTGGTCGAGGATTTTGGAAAGAAGATGACAGTCATAGAGTTTCTGGTGTATCCATCGCCTTCGTAAGTTGGTAAATGCCAAAAGCATTTTCCGCTCATCTCAGGCCACATTTGTTTTCGCCGCAGCATTTCGCCCGTAATTGTGGAGCCGTACAATGCTCTACTGGCCACTCACTTCTCCATGGACTGTGCGGATGTCTCTTTCATTGTGGACAACGAGGCACTTTATGACATTTGCGCGAATACATTGAATGTGCCTGCGCCCACGTACACCAATCTGAACCGCATCATTGGACAGGTGGTGGCTGCATTTACGGCGACGCAGCGATTCTCGGGTCAGTCGGTTAGCTTTCAGGAGCTGCAGACAAATCTGGTGCCATACCCGCGCATACACTATCCCCTAATTAATTACGCTCCCCTCGTGCCCGTCACCCACTCGCAGTTCGTCAACATGAGCACCGCCCAACTGACGGGCCAATGCTTCCACATGAGCAACCAAATGGTTCGCTGCAATCCGGCCCATGGCAAATACATGGCGTGCGTGCTGCTCTATCGTGGCGATGTGGCGCCCAATGAGATCAACTCAGCGCTGGAGAACATAAAGCGTGCCAAGTCCTTTAAGTTTGTGGACTGGTCACCGACGGGCTTCAAGATTGGCGTTAGCCAAATGCCGCCCGTTTATGTGCCCAACGGAGATCTGGCGCCCACGAGTCGCGCCTGCGTGGCCATATCGAACAATACGAATATACGGATCGCCTGGTGCCGCCTGGTCAACAAATTCGATAAGCTTTATCAGCGGCGCGCCTTTGTTTATCATTATGTGGGCGAGGGCCTCGAGGAGGGCAACTTCAACGAGGCGTCCGAGAATATATGCCAGCTGGTGCACGATTATCTCGAGGTAGATGCCTCGGCGCCCGTCTCCAATCGCGGCTCCGATCGGGAAGAATAGCCCGGCAGTGTGTGCCTTGTCTTTTAATGCCTGGAATAAATCCAAAATTTGGTGTATTTATGCGTAAGTTTTCGGTCAAGTGATTTGGAGGTAATTGCGCAGCAATTGACGTCTCGATGACTTTATAAAAGTTGCGGCGCTTTCGTCAGGTTTTCTTTTTATTATTCCTTTTTTCCAAACCAAAAAAACCGTTGGACAAATTAAGTATTTATGGCCCGGGCTTAAGCAAATATTGACCCAGCCCACAATTTGCGTTGCTTGACCCCGACTCGAAAAAACAGAAGATGGGAAGGGGAGCGGCGACGGCGACGGTGGCGAGGAGCTGGGTCGGTCTCTTCTCTGCTGTGCTGCTGGCAGCTGGTCCAGGCTGGCCTATAATTAAAATGATCGCAGGCAAGGGTTTAGCACGTACCGAGCCAAAAGTCGCGCTTATCGCGATCGCACCCAGGGCAAGGTCTCTGGGGCTGATCTCGCTCTTCTGGGTATCTGCCTTGCGGTCTTCCTCCTCTTGCTTCGGGCCGTGACGGGACTTACGCACGCTTAATGCGCGATTATCGATGGAGCCACCTGGAGCTCCCCTCGCAATCTGTTCGGTAGATCTTGCGCACGCAGCTCTCGGACTGGGATGCGGCATCTTATCAGCGCCGTTTGGTGGTCCTTGCTGACCGAACGACCAACCGACCAAGCGACTGCCCGGACTGGACCGACCCGACCCGACCGTTGTTATTATAAGCATTATCATTATGATCCATGCCTTGGCCATGCCTTTGTCTGTGTTAACTGTTGCTAATCTTAAATTGCGCGCACAATGCTTTTGTTTTGCAGCGTGAGAACCGCTGCGTGTGGGTTCCATCAACGGCAGGCAACAATCTGCAGGCTCCTCCCCTCCGGCCAAGGACCGCAACGTGTTAATGAGCTAAAGGAAATGCTGCCACAGGACCACCTTAGGCGGCTGTCCGGCCACCAAATGAAGTTGTTATGTGTTATAGGGTACCGCGCGCGGCTAATAAAGCAATTTGGGTTATGCCTCGCAAAAGAAAGCGATGCGACGGTACAGTTTGACCGGCCAACAGCATCGGAAGTCATTGACAGGACGATGAGCAGAGGGCGGGCGGGTGGGTGGAGGGGGTAAACCCTGCCACAACATTTGAAATATCTAGTTAACTTGCCAGCGCTATGCGAGCAGCGCCCCAAACACAGCTCTGACCTTCTTTATTTATGCACTAATCCGTGGGAAATGCGCGCCCAAACACCTGGGGCCGATTTATGCTCCTGCCTGTAATATGCCCATGCGCACCCGCACTGGCCACAAACAAAAAAAAAGTCCCAGCCTAGCCAATGGCTACAAACAGTTAAGCTCAACAACTAAATGAAACATGTCAAATTCTTGATACACTTACAGAACTCGACGTTCGCTAATATGAAAGATTTCAATTGATTTTCAAATCCAAATCTTAATCATAATCCTACACTGAAATCGACCTGATTCTAAAATTCGAATGCTACTTGGTAACAAAAATGTTTCGAAGTTCTTCCGTTAATACTCCTGACTACGGTCTTAAAGTCTTGCATGTTCCCTATTTTGCTGCCTATCTGATTAATAATTAAATTCACCTACCAAATGAATCTAGGTGATTTTAGACATTTATATATAGTTTAACATTAAAACTTAAATATTGTTGGCAACAATAACAATGGCATAAATATTTGTTAATATTATCAACAATAAATATGTAAAAAGTTGTTCTTTAAAATATATAAAAATAGTGTACTTTAACTTTTAAATACATTTAAAGAGCTAATGACAAATTGCTTAGCATTTTAGCAAATATATAAATAAAACGTATTTTATAAACTTTTAAAACGCTTGTGATTCCTTTTATAGAAAAATGATTATAGAAAACCCATTTGTTTAAATATTTCATAAAGCTTGCAAGTTTGGAACAATTTTTATTATTCACATTGATCTAAACGATTGAAAAAAATTGGCTCCAGTGAACCAAATTTATTATTGTTGACAAATTATTATAGTTTTTTTCTCAGTGTAATGCAGCAATAATAAATACGATACAAGTGAGCCAAGACAGATGAGCAATGCAATTGGTTGACTTAAAAATTCCCGCTGAATTATTTATGTAGAAGAAACAGTAAGACTCTTGAAATGAAGTCACATCTGCATTTTAGCGAACTTCTACAAGTAGCTGGCATGCTCTAAGTTAGAGTATACATATGTACAAAAGATGCAAAAACATTAAGCAACCGTCGAGTGAATTAATAAAGCGCCTTAGCATCGCGAGGCGGCCACGCATTAAACGACACACAACAACTGCAACAATGCAACAGCAGGCAGGCTGGCTGGCTGACTGGCTGGCTGGCTGGTTGGCAGGAAAAGCACAGATTGTACTGAACCATGATGCCACATGTGGCTGGCTAGCTTGGCTCGGCCTGGCCTGGCCTGGCCCAATAGATGCCACCACATGACTGACCAAGCCGCGTGGAGAGGAGTACAGCGCGAATCGGTTGAATCGTCAGCGTCACCCAATGCAGCACTCCAGTCCACTTTAGCCGAGGGCAAACATTTTGGAATTGCAATTTTCGACTTGATTTCAAAGTGGCCTCTGCCCCGGCCTCATCCCTGGGCTCTGCCGCAGCGCCTGGACGCAGCACAGCACAGCGCATTGTGCGCCTTTTTTTTTTAGCTGGGGCAACACCTACCGAGCGCAAATGGAACCTGCTGCGGGTGGGCGGTACAGGGTTGAGGAGGTGAAGTGGGGTTGGGGTGGGCTGTGTTGGTTTGGCAGTAGAGTTGGGGCAGCGACTGTTGCCCGGCACACGCAGCAAGTGTTTCGATTTATGTTTTTGCGCCTCGGCTGCAGTCAAAACACAACGTGCAACGTGCAACGTGCAGAGCGTCGCAGTCGCAGTCGGCGTTTCACTCTTGGCGTTTTTCATTCAAAATGTTTAACTATGCCGTCTGTCCTCTGTCCGGAGTGTGTCCATGCGGAGCGGAGACCACTTGTTGCTCTTTTATTCATTCAATTTGTCAGTTTTGCACGAGAGGCGCAGGTCCCAAGTCCGACTTCAGAACCCAAAAACCAAGATGCAGTCGCATTTGCCCGCTTCCCGACCA